TAACAGTGGCTTTGGGGGTTCTGGATAATCATGCTGGTTAACGGTGGGTTTGTGGGGCTAGGTTCTGGATAGAACTGCTGGCTAACAGTGGGTTCTGGATAATCCTGCTGGTTAACGGAGGGTTTGGGGGTCTGGGTTCTGGATAATCCTGCTGGTAAACGGAGGCTTTGGGGGCGTTGACAGGTGAAGCCGTCCCTGGATGAGGCGTTTGTGATCCAGGAGCAGAACGTTGCTCTGAACTTCATCGGGTCCAGAGGAGCAAAGCCCGGCGTGACGAAGGAGAGGAGGATCAAATACGCAAAGGAAGTTCTGCAGAAGGAGATGCTGCCGCATGTGGGGGTCAGCGACTTCTGCGAGACCAAGAAGGCCTACTTCCTGGGGTGAGAAGAAGAAGACTTTATTGATCTCAACATGGAGCGGGCTTGGCGGCGGGGGTCTGGGCGGGGGCTGGTCTCCGGGGTAACGCTGGGCCCGTTGCAGGTACATGGTCCACCGGCTGCTGCTGGCGGCTCTGGGCCGGAGGGAGCTGGACGACAGGGACCACTACGGGAACAAGAGGCTGGACCTGGCCGGGCCTCTGCTGGCCTTCCTGTTCAGAGGGTGGGTTCCTCACTCCCTAACCCTAACCCTAACCCTAACCCAGAAGCCCATCAGGCCGGATCTCTGACATCCTTCTCTTTGTTCAGGATGTTTAAGAACCTCCTGAAGGAGATCAGGATCTACGCTCAGAAGTTCATCGACAGAGGGAAAGATTTCAACCTGGAGCTCGCCATCAAGACGCGCATCATCTCAGACGGCCTGAAATACTCTCTGGCCACCGGGAACTGGGGGGACGTGAAGAAGGCTCACCAGGCCCGAGCCGGGGTGTCCCAGGTTAGAGCCCCGCCCCCCCGGTGGTCTGAGCTGGTCTCACTGACACCTGGGACACCCTAACCCAGGGGAGTCAGAATCCAGTCCTGGAGGGCCGGGGTCCTGCAGGTTTTAGACATTTTCCTGCTTCTGCACACCTGATTCTTATTAAACTGGATCTCCCCTGGACATAGTTGAGCTTTACACCGGTCTAATGGCCCTTTGATGTGAATCAGGTGTGTTGAAAAAGGGAAACCTCTAAAACCTGCAGGACAGCGGCCCTCCAGGACTGGAGTCTGACACCCCTGCCCTAACCCAACCCTGACCCTATCCCAACCCACCCTATCCTAACCTAACCCTGACCTAACCCTATCCCAACCCTAACCCTATCCCCCCCTGACCCCTGCAGGTGCTGAACCGTCTGACCTTTGCGTCCACGCTGTCCCACCTGCGGCGGGTCAACTCTCCCATTGGCCGAGACGGGAAGCTGGCCAAACCCCGCCAGCTGCACAACACGCTGTGGGGCATGGTGTGTCCCGCAGAGACGCCTGAGGTAAAACCCTGGTTCTCCTGGTTCCCTCCTGGTTCTCCGGGTTCAGCAGCCGTGTTGATGATGCCGTTGGTTCCCATCTCAGGGTCACGCCGTGGGTCTGGTGAAGAACCTGGCCCTGATGGCCTACATATCTGTAGGCTCCCAGCCTTCGCCCATCCTGGAGTTTCTGGAGGAGTGGAGCATGGAGAACCTGGAGGAGATCTCTCCTGCTGCCATCGCAGAGTTAGTTTGACTTGATGCATCTCTTTTTTCTGATCAAACTCTGACTTTATGCACTTTGCTAGAATGAGATGTGTTTCTGGTTTCAGTGCAACTAAAATCTTTGTGAACGGCTGCTGGGTTGGAATCCACAAAGACCCAGAGCAGCTGATGAATACTCTGAGGAAACTCCGCCGACAGATGGACATCATCGTGTCCGAGGTAAACTCCACCTGCCCCTGGTTTGGGTAGAACCCCTAACCCTGCCCCCCGTTTGGGTAGAAACCCTAATGCTTCCCCCTGTTTGGGTAGGAACCCTAACCCTGCCCCCCGTTTGGGTAGAAACCGTAGTGAACCGGTAGCAGCTCCTTATATGGAGCT